AGGGACAGAGAAAGAGACAGTGATTACCACTGCAGGTTGCTAGGGCACCAACTCATGACTCTAAAAATCAAAGAGAAAGAATCCTGTTCTTCTAGTATGAACTCTGTTTCAGGGTAATCAAATAACCCTATTAGGTGAAAGAAAGTTCTGTGACAGAGAATAATCCCAGCTATCAATGAAAAGGAATGATAGACTCATACCCGTAGTGAAATAAGTGATTCAGGCAAAGATCATCAATGGGTGCTAAAACCATTGATGGGAACTGTACACCTGAACCCAATGATCCATCTTGGTGTCACCCAAAGCTGGACAACAGGATGTTGTCCTATCTCTGGATGCAGTGCAATGCGATGTACGCAACATCATCTATGAAGTATGTTTGCCAAAAAATTACATTGATCCTGAATCTAATCAATCTAACTTTTAGTCTAGGGTAATTATAGGGGCAAGGAAATGAAGCTAAATACTACCATGAGGATACAATGAGCCAAATTCAGAAAGTTTAGACATTCTACGAGACAATCTCCCTGGCAGCCAAGTCGATGGCAAATGGGAGGAGGAGGGAAGGAGGAAGTCTGTCTGTTCTAGATTAAAAGAAACTTAAGAGAACAACCAGTTACAAAATGCAAGCCTTGTTTGGATACCAGTATAGTAAATCAATTATAAAAAGTCATTTTTAGAACAATATGGGAAATCTGAATATAAACTGAGTATTAGGTAATACTAAGAATTAATATCAATTCTGTTGAGGGTGATAATGTAAGAAAATGCCCTTATTTTTAAAAGATGTATCCTGAAGTATATATGCGAGAAATAACAATAAGATCATTTAAGATACTCAGCAAAAAAAGTGGGGCAGGAACAGATGAAATCAATTGGGCAAGATTGTTAGTTACTAAAACCGGGAAATGGTGGGTTCATTGTGCATTTTTTGTCTTCTTTAGTGTTTGGAATTTTTCATAATAAAATGTTTTTTTAAAACCCCAGCAATGCTCAAGGATATATGGGTTAAAACATGTGGGTTCCAAGGTACATTGTAATGAAGCAATCTGTGGTATAATAGAATCCGAGCTTAAAAGCATGTGTGTATTTGCCATTTGACATGTTGAGGGGCACTTCTTTCAGAAAAGCCCTCCCAAACGTCCTTGATTTGATTTTTAATTCTTTGTTAGCTACTCCTTCCTCTCTGAACCATTTCACTTGGGGCTTACCAAAAACCGATCACCTTAGGGAGACTGGCAGCACGGTAACTTCCTCAACAAAGTCCTAGGTGTCACTGGGAGTGGAGGGTTCCCTCTTCCTCTAGAAAATGTGTAGGTCTCCCTGGGGGCACAGACCCTCCAAGAGCCGGGCAGGAAGTTACCGTTTTCACACAACATAAGTAAAGTGTTATGATCAACCATGTTTCAAATGGACGAAGGAACAGAGATGACGTCTCTGAAGGATTCCTGTAGTCACATTTAAATGACACATCTCTGTTTGGGCCCCACTTTAATATTGTCTATAAATAACCTGTATCTTCAAAATGTAAAATGCTGATCACCTTCACACATTAGAAAACATTTTATAAATTTGAAGGGAGGTGGAACCAGGTTTAAATTATGAATATATTTAAAATAACAGATTACACATGAACAGTCATGATCTCTTTTCGGTGACCTCTGCTTTGGATGTCCAGATGATTGGCATGCACTACAGAAGACTTTCATCTTTGAATGTGGAAACAAAAATGGAAGGACAGGGGTGACATAATAGTGCCACAAGTTTGAGCTCTGTTGCAGATTTGCTGTTGACTTTGGGTGGATTGACCTCCTGTGACCTTGGTCTTCCTCTGTCAATGGGAAGGAAGCATTTCTTTATCTGTCTTATGTTTCACCTGCCTCTCAAAGGAAATAATGTATGTGGAGACATTCTTGGAACTATAAAGAGATTATAATTATTTTTTAAATATATTCTCCACATAGATATTGTTTTCCCTCATCAACATCTTTTATTTCCCAGTTCCACTTCTAGAATTGTTCTTAAACCACTCTGGGATCAGTTTGAATAAAAGACTCTGGGAGTAGATTACATTTTTAATTAGAGATTGTTTAGCTTCCTATTTACTGTGCAACATTAAAGAAAAGATTTTCTTCCTAACTTAAAAAAATTTTAATTTTACTACTGTTAAAATCAAAACATTATTTCTGGAATATTTTTAAGTCGTGGAAATTTTAGCATTTTATAGTTCTTGCCAAACTCCTGTTTAAACACAGTAAATACATTGTCTTTAAACTCAAAATATCCATTTTAAATATTGCCAGTGGTATGTTCCCAGTCTATGTTCCTTCTATTAAGGCAGATTCGTTCACAGTACACATAGCAAGGATTGAGGACTTGAACAGGAGAGCCTTCAGATTAATCTTCCAGGGCTGGAACCAAACAACGAGGCTTTGCCCAAAGTGGTCAATATAGTATCTTCATCTGTACTCAGTGGCTCATGAAAATATATTCAGAATGTACTCTAAATCTCTTACCAGGGCAGGTTAGAAGCTGCTAAGACAAACACAAGATCTTCTGAGCGAGCCAGCCCATCCATCTGCACCAGCAGCTCTGTCTTCATCCGAAGGCTTCCTTCGTGCTCTCCCCTAGAGAGAGACGAGGAGGTGAGGCTCTCCGGGCAGAGCCCTCCCTCCCCAAGGGCAGCGCTCAGCGGCGACTCGGTGCCCGGGGAGGGGCTCTCTTATGACAGCTCACCCTTCCCGGCCTCATTCTCAGAAGCCACTTGTATTAGAGTTGGAGGAAAGAAGCCATTTGGTATTCTTTTCCCAAAGGCAGTAATTGAGAGGACATAAACTAATATAATGATTATACTGAAAAGAAAACCAAAGGTTGACAGCAAACTAGAAAATGACTGAAGGGCAGACAGTGCCACTGGGAGATGAAATGCAGCCCGGCCCTGTCCACCTGCAGTGCTATTTAGTATTATTTTTTTTAACCCTCACCCGAGGACATTTTCCCCATTGATTTCCAGAGAGAGTGGGAGGGAGAGAGGAGGAGCGGAGACACACACACACACACACACACACACACACACACACACACCCCGATTGATTGCCTCCTAAACACGCCGGGACCAGGGCAGGAACCTGCGACCCAGGTACTGCCCTTGATGGGGTCAAACCAGGGACCCTCTGGTCTGCGGGCTGACGCTCTAACCACTGACCAAACTGGCCAGGGCTATTTACCCTTTGTAAATGGCATAATTGAGAATAATCCTTTTCATTTATATAGCAGGCATAAAAGAACTTTCACAGGAAGTATTTCTTTTAGTATAATTTGTGGATATAAACTGTCCAAAAAGAGAGATCAACCATTAGTCTGAACCTGTTTCACTGTCTTTTAATAAGAGGCAAGGTAATGAACGGGAGGCAGCCGTCTGTGCGAGTTCGCCTCCAGCTCCCCACCAGCAAGCGGCCACCACAGGGTCTGAACATCCAAGCTGGCTCTAAGTGCTGACCATCACTTCTTTAGATGGGCATAAAAGGGCAAAAAATGCCTGTCTTGGACAACACGACACTCAGCTTCTCATCTCTGCATATGTATGGTGGCAACCCAAACCAGGTATGTGATTGTTAAGGAGCTGTGCCCCTTACTATGTAACTCCCGTTTCCTAAGAGAGAAGACAGTCTCACAGTACAGTTACATATTTATTCAGCATTTGCCCCTAATTATTATTCTTTTAACATAATAGGACCCAAGAAGTCTTCCAAGCACCTACATTGATTCCCTGACTACTTGAAGATTCTAGTTTTAGAGTTTAAGTTCCAGACAAGGAAAGAGATATTCAGTATAAACCCAGAGCACACTCCTCCATCAAGGATAGTAGATGAAGTTTCCAAATTAGCTCAATCAAAGCTGCGGGGGACCCGGGGATGGAGATTGACAAAGCGAATGTAAGAGTGAGTGCACAGGTCCCTAGGGTAAGGGAGACCAGGCGGCCAGGGGCTCTGCAGAGGGAATGACCACTAGGGCGTCTGGTGGGCTCCCAGCCTGGCACCTCTGTAGCTGCCAGCTCCTGCCAGGCCCTGTATAGAGAGGCTGAGGGTCCCAGCCTGGGGCTAACAGCACCCATTAAGCCATGGAATCATCCCGTTTCAATCAATGGTAAGAGTCCCACGGACCTTAACGGTTATTTTTCCCTGCTGGGAAAATGGTTTTCAATAAGTAAAATTTCATAAATTATATTCTAGTTATATTTCCAACAAGCTAATTATTTGCTCTTTATTACTATTAGTTCTGCCTTCATGATAGACCATTAGAGGTCATTAATAAATATAGTCATGTTGAGATTTCCTAGAGACTTGTTTCTTTTCAAGCCAGAGGAGCCAAGTTCAGTGAAAAGTTTCGGAGAAAAATACCTCTGATCAAGAGAGAAAGGCATTCTTAACACACACACACACACACACACACACACACACAGAAAGCTCATTACAGCCTGAGAAGTGAACTAGAAATGAACAGCCTTTCCTGCTGGGGACATTAGACACTTAATCTTTGGAGAGTAACATACGTGACATATTTAAATTCGGACACGCTGAGCCACAACCTGATGTCACAGGGACGCAGTGGCTTCCCTGGCCTTGCACACCTTGTCAAGGACTGCCCCTCTGGGGACTTGGCTCTTTGCAGCCCCACTCCCCACAGGCAGACCCTCTGGCTCCAGAGGACGTGGTCACAGGCGGCTATTTTAAGCCAGCAGGGCTTTGGGGTTATGGCAGCCAGGGACTGTGGGGCTGGGTGATCTTCAGGCCTGAAAACCACTCTGTGGGGAAGGGGAAAGGGGGGAAGGGAGGATGACATTTCCTCCGGTTATAAAAACTACTTAAATCAGCTATTCAGTTAACAGGATCTAATTTAAAGACCTTCCCGTGTGTCTGCAGAAAATTTGTGGGCTTATTAATAGGCTCATTCTGCTGGTAAATGTCGATGGGCTTCCGACCATCAAACACACTTACAAGAGGGGAGAAGTGATGACCAAAAAAAAAAAAAAAACAACACCCCTGTCTGTTACCCAGGAGCAGTGCCTCTCTGACTCATCACCGACTCCAGCTCGTCCAGGAAGATGGTGGAGGGGGCGTGATAGCGAGCAAGTTCAAACAACACCTGGTGGGAGGAAAGCAACCACACGTTCAAGTTCGCATATTTAAAGTTCTCAGATGCTCCCAGAGAGTAAAAGCTTAGAATGACTACAATATTAACCATTTATACTGCACTCTGTTATTTCACTAACAACTTTATAATCGTTACAATTATTTCTCCCTAGAATACCCCATGGGGTTGGATGGTCCAATTATTTCCATTTACCACTTGATAAAATTAGAGCCAGAGAGACTAAGTGGTTATCTCAAGGTTACTAATCATAAGTAGGGGAGCTTAAGATAAAACTCAGTTCCTGAGCTTTCAGTCCGTTAGCTAATCCCTGAGACTGCCTGTCAATGGCATGTCTCACAGGGACACTTGGAATATGTAAAATCATTTGATGATTTTTCCTACACCTTTAGGGACAATGAAAGGGTTATTCTCAGAAGGAAGAATTGCTGGGAAAGGACAGAGTTCCAGTCATAGGTTAAAAAGATCAAAGAATTTTGCCTCTTTCTGCTCCCCAAATTACTCCATGAGGTCCCCATACTACCCAACACTGCAGTTTGCCGGGCTCAGGTACTTGAAGGCAATTCTTGGTGGAATAAAAGGTTCCATTCCAGATAAAATGTTATAGACTGAACAAGACAGGAAAGCAAGTAGCAAAAGAACAGCCATATAAAAGCAAAATAAAGAGCCCTAAAGGGAGATGTGGTGGTGATGAAAAGCATAAAAAACTGAACCTTTTTAACCCTGAAACCCATCTCTTGAGCACCATATACAATTCTTCACTGGTTGATTGGAGAAAGCAATAGAGATTTAGAAAAAAATAGGGGTTCTTTAATTGGTAGAGGGGATTTATTCTCCATGTCACTTAGCACGAGCAAAGCATCACAGAACAAATAAGAAGGGAAGGGCTCAGAGAAAGCCAGGTTGTGGTTTTCACGAGTAATAGCAGGTCATCATTGCAGGCCCCCTAGCACCGAGTGGAAAACTGCTCACGTGCGTGGTGCATCCATGCTCATGCTCAAGTATTTTCCTTTTTCAGAAACCTATTTCATTTGGCCAAGGCAATTGGCTCAGCCTAATGAATTGAGAGAAATGTCAATGCTCATCACACATGCCTTTAGACGTAATAGAGACCACCTCATTAGAAGCAAGGAACTTTTTCTTGTCACAAAAAAGTGCCCAGATATACCTGATATTAAGGGTAATTATAATGGTGGCAATCTTCCCAATGAAAAATGGAATATTAGAACTCTTTATTAGAACCATACATGTTTCTAAGGAGCTCCCTAAGGTGCAAGGGGCAACACAAGACCAAATATCCAAGTGGAAGGAGGACCACATCTGGAGCCTCCGTCTCCATATAGACCACATACCACTGTCCTTTCCACTGCCAGAGAATATATAGAATCCTGGGTAAGTGCTCGGAAAGCATTAGGCTAAAATTTTCAAAAGTACTTGGAGGAAGTTAAATCATACGGTTGGGGCGGGGGGAGGTGTTGAAAGATGTAAGCACCAACAGGTGTGTGCATTTGCTAAAGAGACCACTCAACTATTCAATAACATCAACTCCTAAGAGGCATGAACATTAGGAGGGGAGGGAGCAACATAGCCCAAGGGTTCCCTATAAATAACTCTTAATTGGAATAGAAAAGAAGCAAATGGTAGGAAAGCTTCTTTGATTTAGGGGAAAGGCCCTAAAGGGCTATCTTTATCTGAAAGCTCCGTAGTAAGGAGCTTGACAGCATGACCAAGGTTTTGCAGGTGAAGATCTTTTCAAGAGCTTAGAAAATAAAGTAGCTTCTGAAAGGACAGAAGGTGAGATCCTTCGAGGTTAACAGAGGCTACTTGTCTTCCTCTTGAGTTAATTTTTTTAATATCCAAAATAAAACTGCATTTCACACAAAAAAATTCTTCTAAACCTATAAAAAGATGCTCAAATTTATTCAGAATGATAGAAATGCGTATTTGAGCACTGAAATATTACTTTCACTATCAGACTGGCAAAGATTTCAAAATGTGGGTACTACACAGTGTTGGCCAGGGTGTGGGCAAGCACACACACTCGCCGTTGGTGGGAGTGTAAGCTGCCGCAGCCCTGCTGGCAGGCAACCGGGCAGTCGGCGATGTTCACTCCCCCGGCCCAGCAGTTCTACTTCAAAGAAATTGCTCTACATGACTACACATGCAAAGTTGTGTGCGTGACAAGACTGTTCACTGTAGTTTTGTTCATAATAGCAAGAGACTGGAAACAACCTAAATGTCCATCAGAAAAGACTGGTTTAATACGTTTTGGGACACACCCATGCACTCAAATACCATTCAGACATGTAAAAGAACACACTCTGTCTATAATAGTGTGTAACAATATCCAGTGAGAAAAAATACCCAGTGAGAAAAACCCCAGCGAGGTACAGAAGGGTATGGGAAGCATGCTCCTAACTGTGTTTAAAGAGAAAGGGAGATATAGATACAGTTGTTGATGTCAAACTAGATATAAATGTTTTATAAGAACAATTAATTGTATAAGACACTTATTTATATCTGTATTACATAAAAACATATATGTTATAGTAGTAGTTGCCTCCAAGGAGAAGGCTTAGGGGTCTGTATAACCTTTTGTACTTCTTTTCCAAAAAAATTAGTTACTTTTTAAATGTATTGTAAAGTAAGGGGAGAAGTCATTTCCTCACTCTTAGAATTCTAACAAAATAATACTGAAGCAGAGGAAAACTTTAGTTAAATAAAATGCTCACACAGAAGGAAGCGTTCTGGCTAAGGGACTTTTCTGGCTAGTCAACACTGAACAAGAAAAGCCATTTAAATCTTTGTTGAGAATATTCATAAAATATCTGAATCTATTCTTCTGTCCTGTCCTGGGAATATGATGTCATCTCTCTTTGAGCACTTTGTTGCGTCTCATGCTCATGGTTCTAAACAGCACCTTTCAGGACAGGAGATGAATCTAAACTGATTTTGGGGGAATTTTCTAAGAGCTTTGTTGTTCCTCAGCACAGAGAAATGGAATTTTTAAAACAAAACTTTAAAAACAGGCTGTTGAGGATTCTAGTTAGTCAGATCTCAGCTTACTAAAATCCCACTAACTAGAATCACACACAACCCAAGTTCTGGCACAAGCTAAATTCAAGCCCCATCTTTGGATATGGTTAGACTCGAGATGAAGAACAAAGAAATAGAAGATGTCAGCATAGGTTTCCATGAATTACAGCCTTGAGGGCTGATAATAATTTATAAAAATGTACACATTTGAAACAACTTGAAAACAATATTAAAGTAGTAAATAATAGGTTACTTTAGGTAAATCAATCCTTTAAAAATATTCTATTATGCTTTTCAATTAAGCCATAATATTTTGAAAATGAGCCATCCAAAGAAACGTAATTTAAGAATAATATTTTAGAGTAATTTCTTTTCAGAAAATACATAATATTTACCTTCCTTTAATATTGATTACTTATCAGTCATTCTACAAAGTGCAGTAGTTTAGCAGGATTTCTGAGAGGGACCTTACATTGAGGCATAAATCATAAACAGGTATTCTCAAAAGATAAAATTTTATAATATAAAATATACCATAAACTATGAATGTGATATTGTAAAAATAGAAACAATCTCTTAAGGAAAGGAAAAACACCCTACAGGCTATGAGCACTCTGTATGTACCTGGAGAGCATCTGAACAAATAATTAAGTTTCTTGATTCCCCCTTTGAGTACCTAGTATACGGACTAGCTCAGAGGAGTAGCATCTCAATAAATGTTAACTGAATATACGGCACATGCTTAATAATAAATGCTTCTTGAATGAAGGAAAAAATAGGCCACTTCTGAGACAATTTCTCCCCCCCGCTTCCATTCCTAAGTTGCATAATTCGCAAAAGGGCGGTTGGTTAAATTCCCAAAGGAAGGGAGATCATGTTTTGCTGATGGGAGCATAATTAATATCCACAAATAATAGTCAGTCTGTCTCCTGGGCTTTGGGCAATCAAGGTCCAGGATAAATTCTAACACACATCACTTAAAAACAAGGCAGGTATAACATCATTCGTACCACTTTATTCTGCTGGAGCTTATTCTAAAAAACAAAATCAAGAATTCCTGTATCTGTGAAACAAACTGGTGATTACTAGAGAAGGGAGGGGTTGTGGGGCAGACGAAATAGATGAAGTGGATTAAGAGGTACAAACTTCCAGTTGTAAAATAAAAGTCATGGCGATATACTAGACAGCACAGGGAATAGAGTCAATAATATTGTAATAACTATGTATGGTGATAAATGGTAACTAGACTTATTGCAGGGATCATTTCGTAATGTGTATAAATACAAATCACCATACTGTACACCTGAAACTAATACGATATTGTACGTCAATTATACATTAAAAAAAAATCCTACCCGAACAAGTTTTTCTGAATCCCCTCTCCATTTGCTGACAATGGTAGATGCAGAAATGTTAAAGAAGGTTGTTTTGCATTCTGTGGCCACAGCTTTGGCCAGTAAAGTCTTTCCTGTACCTAGGGACACACATGGAGAAAGTATGAGTGGCATTTGAGCTTCCTCTCTCTGTTTACAGACAGGAGTCAGCATCACAAGCAAACAAAGAAGGAGGTTCCTCAGCTCTCATTTGCCCCGTCCCGGTGTGAGGATGGGTCAACTCACCCTCTGCACGCACACTTAATACCAAAACCAAACCAGAAAGCTTTGCTTACCTGGAGGGCCATAGAGCAGTAGTCCTTTCCAGGGGGAGAGAATTCCTGTAAACAGTTGTGGGTACTGTGGAAACAAGGAAGAGTGATGAGATTTGGTATCAGCATGTCAGTCAGACCCTTTGCACAGGAGACCTAGTGCAACTGGAGTGAGCACAGCCCAACTCTGAGAGTCAGGCCTTCCTTTTACTAAGGCTGGCTGCTTCCGTATATATCTTACATATCCCAACTTTGCTTTCACATAGGAACACATGGCTTGATTTATGTGGCTTTTTAAGAGAGCAACTTTTTAAGAAAGAAAAAGGCATATGTAGGTAATTCTCTCCTCCATTACGATAGCTATTTCTTACGTGCATAGCATCATCCCCCTCCCGAGTTCTATATACAGAGCATTTTGCCATCTTTGTAGACCTAGCAGATATGAACTTCAAGAGAAACACTAGAACCAACAAATAAAGATGTGTGTTAATAGAGCACACCCCTGGTGAAGCCTGATGTAGAAGTTGGGACATTCGGTGCTGACTGCATTGAGACACCGGCTCCCAACAAGACATGCATGGACTTCACGGAACTCCCGTTAGTTCAGATGCCAGCAATCTAGAGGGTGGGCAGGGTTAGCAGAGAACAACCAGAAGGAAAGATAATAGTAAAATTATAACTAGCTATGAGTTTCTTGCTGATGCTAATGTCAAAATCTCTATGCAATCACGTGCAGAGCTTATAAAACCATGGAGATAATACCCAAAGAGTTTCAATGAGCTGTTCTGTCCTTTCCAGAAGCCTTGTACTATAGAGCCACTCAGAGGACATGGTGAGTAAACTTCCACTAATTCTGAACACCAGGATATTTCTTACCCACCTGTCTTAACACAGGAAAAAAGAGGGGAAACACAATCCAAATTTATTGATTTTGTCTCATTAGAATAGAAGCATCTGAAAGTCAGGGGCTGTATCAGCCCAGTGGTAAAAGTAAATAGGTTATTCAATAAATTTGTAATCCTGACCGCAGGAGATTACAGAAAATGGCCACAAATTATTTGCAGCTCCTTCCACCAAGAGGCAGAGTATATTTCCCCACCACTTGAATCTGGACTTGGCCTGGTGATTTCGGTCAATGGGACGTTAGCAGATATAAGAAGAAACTTGAAAATATAAGACTAGCTAATATGAGAAATATAAGAGACATGGGAAATGCTCATGGATTGGGACCTGCCCTTTCTTGCTTCTGTCTGGGTATTCTCTGCCACCGTGTGAACGAGACCAGGCTTGCCTGCTGGAGGATGAGAGGCACGTGAGAGAGGCCTCAACTGTCCTGTCCGTCCCAGCTTCCCCAGCCTCTCCACCTTCCCCAACCACCCTGGCTGATGCCCCAGACATGTGACTGGGGCTAACCATTATCACCTGAAAAAGAGATGAGCCAGCCCCACTAAGCCCTGCCCGAACTGCCTACCCTCAGAACTGCCAACAAATAAATGATCGTTGTTTCAAAGGCACTACCTTTGGGGGAGGTCTGTTACACAGCAAAAGTTATGTAATGCAGTGACCGTCTCATCACGTTTGTTACCCAAACATGGAGAGTTTTGTTTTCTATTTTTCTTCCTGTTCAGTAAGCCGCTCTGCCCAAAGACTTGTCAGGAGCAAGCAATGAGTACATGCCAGCTTTACTGGCCAGTGCCCTGGAAGGGGCTGTCTGGTCTTCATAGCCAGCCAGAAGCAAAGCCCCAGATGATGGGGGTTTGTGTGTGTGTTGGGGAGGTAGATCTATCAAAACAAAGTGACTGGCCCTCTCCTATGGAAGGTATTTCTATTAAAGTATATTTATAAGGAGGGAGGCTAATTTGAACCAATCTACAGTAACTGACAAATCATATATATTACAGTCTTAGATCTAATATTACCACTTAGAGCAGACACCTGCCTTGAACCCTGATGTAACATTTCAAATGGCCTAGAATGGACTGGGCCTTGGTAGCCCAGTATTGGCAAAGTGTTATGACACAGGCAAAAAGCTAACTTGTGGACAGAAAATCATCCTGTGCTTCTCTCCCTGATGGGTGTATGACATACAGCTTGTCCAATGGATAATGAACAGAAATACCCCCCAAGAGGCTTCCCATCCTTACCTTTATAGGATACACAACAGCTTCTTTGACTAACTGCTTGGCTGCATCGAGTCCAATAATGTCATTCCACTTTATGTTTGGATTATGGAGATAAATGTCCTGCAATGCACATTTGATATTTTGTTAAAACTAATGTTTTCCTCCACAGCTGTAATAAACATGGGAGCCACAGAATACTTGACTTATAATAGGACATAAAGAGCTGGTGATAAGAAATTTTCATGTTAGGAATATATATATATGCACATTGTAATTTTGGGTTGGTTCACCAAGGGATGCCATAAGAATATTCAGTGATTTTCCCTGAAGAAGACATTGATTATATAATATGGTACTTTTCGGGGGGGG